GTTGTTTGTTTTCTGTCTTGCTGTTGCTATGCTAATTCCTCAAAACTTGTGGGGTTTGACTTGACAGTTGTCTGCTCATGGTTACTAAAACATCACATAGGCTATAAAAGCTTTGCCTGTCGGTATGAATTAACTGTCCTGTCAGCTATATGAGCAGCTTCTGGCTTGTAAAGACATCATTCATAGTCATGTTGCTGCTTCAAGTCCAAGGTGTTTAGATCTTATTTACTGTCGCTTATGTTTGTTAATGGAGATCACAACAGTAGCAGTGGCTGTTTATATGATAGTTGGCCTTTCCTGATTAAATGTAACAATCACTGGTATTCATCTTCAAACACATTGTTGTAAAGTTTTCATATCTTTGCAACTGGGAACATACTGATCTCTGATTTTATTGATGCTTTCTCTACTCTGCACTGGAACTGATTAGGGAAATACTGCTGCTAATCTGTTTTTGTATGTGAAAATCTTTAGATATTAGCAATCATTAGGCCTACCTGATTTTCAGTCTTCAGTCCGCTTCAGACTCCGGTCCCGTACTTTACAACTGAGCAGTCATATGACTTAAGGTGTAGCTGACTGTATGAGTAACTGAAGGAGGGAATGTCAGTTAAAAGATATTGATTTTAAAGAAACTATTTTTTTGGTGGTATTTGTGTATGCTGCACCAAAAAAAAAAAAAAAAAGTACACGCAGAGATTGGCTAACCACTTGAATAAGAACGTGCTGGATATTAGAATGCGATCACCTCTTTTTCCACTTACACAATACCTTGGCATTCTAATCAAAATTTATTTTTAATTTTTTTTATTTTTCAGATTCAGCTTTTCTTAAAAGCCGCTATGGTCAAAGACACCTTTGTTGAAAATATGCACTAAAACCCGAGAGAGCTCATCATTGTTAGGGCCCACAGTTGGGTCTGTATACCACAGGTCATCTTTCTCTGATGGCCTGAAGATGTGTGATGTGTAGTAGTAATTTTATCCTTTAGTGTGTTTCATGTTCTTTTGAAACTTACAGTGGCTTTTGCTTCTTTATCACAAAGGGGCCTACACAGCACAGAGCTTTGAAAAGAGCTTTCACTTTAACAAGACCTTAATAGTCCAATATGTTTTTGTGCTGGCTTGTAAGTCCATTTATGTGAAGTTTCCTAAAAGAATGGCACCTGTAGCCAATGTGCAGCTGCAGTCTTAAAAGTTATTGCAGATACAGTTGTTTCTGATAAAATAGACTGTAAACTAGTCCTATATCTCTTCAAATTCTTGTTATATCATACAGTAGAGCAAATATTTAACTATTAATTTCAGTCTTGTCTGACTTGTCTTTGTAGTTAATTATTGAAAGAACAGGTTGTTTTGTAAACACATAATTAATTTTATGCATACAGATTTATTTCCTCTCATTTGTGTGCTGATCTTCAGCAGCTGTTGAGTATATTTTCACCATAAGGTGTTGGCCCCAACATCAGATTAATGTAAAAAGTAATATTTTAGGATAATTAGATGTCATGAGTATAATAAATATTTCCAAAATTTTTTATGAAGCTTCAAGTTACTTTATTTGTACTGTGGGTAAATTTATCTTGCAGCAAGATAGTTGTTCATAATAACACACATATAGGCGAATACAACAATGTAATCCTCATAATACAAAAGTGCATAGTGCTCCATATTCACATCATCACTATGGAACTTCAGTGTACAAGTGGCAATAATGAGGCACTAATCTGTTATTTGTGCATTGTTCCTATAACTTGTTGATGCAAATGATGGCTGTTGGGACAATACTGTTGTTATACTGGTCTCATTTACACTTTGGGACTAAAAGACATTGTCCAGAGGGGGAGAACCTGAAACTTGCTGTACAGCGGGTCTGCGTAATCCCTCAGAACTGAGCCAGATGAACGCTTTAACTGTCTAATTATACAGGGTTGCTAAACCTACTGTGTAATGACCAAAATCTTAGTTGTATACATAATTTTCACTTGTGCTCAACTAAGTGTCTCTGCTAGGCTTAATGCAAGTTACTGTACACTGATGTTAAGTATAAAAGATGGTCCTTTAGCAGCTGCAGTTCAGTGTAACAGCTTGACCTCATAATTATGAGATCTTTGTTACTCATAATTATGAGACAATATGCTTGCGTTTTTGGTAAATGCAATGTATGTCCGTACTGGACCATGTGTCTAAAATAAAGTGACCTGGTGATGAGTAAAATGTACTCTAACTGAAATCACAGCCTTCATCAAACCCAGTAAGTCAACATTTATCTGCCAGACAAAGAAAACAGATAATGGCAATATCATATCGCAGCACAGAGAACAGACAATACATTGGAGGGTATTTGGGATTGGAAGGAGAACGTGACTGGGGGGTTTTACATGATGCATCCCCTGTCTGAACTTGTAAAACTATAAAGATTTGGCATAAAGCCTTCAAGTGAGCATTTTACATTAGGATGACATTTTATTGCCGATTTAATTTTGTTACTTTGGGGGATGGAATTCATTTTCACAGATATTGATTGGTTTGTCTGTAAAAATGGATTTTTGAATTAAATGTTATTCACTATAAATGGTGCTATTAAAATAGCCGACGCCCTCCAAGAGAGGCAGCAGATCTACTAGATGCATTCTGTGTAGCAGCTCCAAATCGCTTTGTGATCCTTCACATATATAAAAACTTCATTTCTCTCTAATAGAGGGCTGTAATGCTAGTTTGCCTCATCTGACAAATTGATAGCAAAACAGTGTTAATAAAACTGGAACTATTTTCATTGTGGCATTAATTAAATATCTGCTTGAATAAACAAAGATAACACAAGCTTTAAGTTTGTGGTGAAAAAGTCTTTGAGCTGATTTTTAGAATAAACTCAAAGGACATCAAACCAGGCAGTAACTGTAATAGGGCTAAATGTCCAATGGCTTTTTAAACTACTTAGTTTTTAGATAATAAAGACTTTCTGCCATGCTGGGTTTTGGATTATGCAAAATATAGTTGAGTGGTATACTCAACACAGGGGAACCCCTTAAGTGCAGATGTACAGTAGACTATTTGTCTACTGTACATCATGTTTATCTTCTTCAGCAAAGCCAAATAAAAACATTCAGGCTGGTTTGATTCCCCTGTGCTGACTGGGCATATGTTGAAGTGTCACTGAGGGGGAAAAACAACCAACCTTGAACTGCTTCTCGTAGCCTTAATAGCACCACAGGAATGTGTGTGTATAAAACATGAAAGAGAGGCACTGTGAAGCAATTTGTCCTGTGAAAGGAAAGCAGCGTGACTACAGTTGCTTTACCATTATTCAGTTCAAGTTTTATTTATATGGTGCACACAAACTACAATATGGAAAGGCGTGGGGATGGGGTCATCAAGTCCTGCTGTTTGACCTGTGGACATTAACATTTAGTAAAACAATATGATTATGAAAACAATAACCCACAAGTTACTATTTCACATTTAAAAGTACAGAGTTTTAGATGCTTGGTTCATTTTATTATTAGTAATACAAAATCCATATTTAATTTGCATTTCTTTCACTTTATTAGTAAACTACATAGCTCTAATAGTTTGTACATGCAGTAGTGTCACAATCTATAAAAGAAGGCAAAGTCTCTTCACACTCCGTAATTTTTCATTTATTTTGGTAGGATTTTGTTTATTTTATATGCATTTCATCAAGGGTTGGAATAAACATGCTCCCAGGATTTAAGACCAGATGAAACAAAACTCTTAGCCTAGAGATTTCTAAAAAACTAGAAGTCAGGCAGGTTAATCTTTTCCTTAAATCAACTGTGTTATCTTCTCTTAAGTTGCCACTTACTATAATCTGTTTATCTGCCCACAGCATAAAGGATTTAAGTCCAAGGCCAGGTGGGGGAATCATAATACAGGGACACAGGTTTAAGATGCCCTGTTGCAGTAACCCTTAAACTTCTGTCAGCCTTCATCCATTTTATCTGATTTATCTAGTCCCATTATCCAGAGCTTTGACCTTATTTTAAGATATGTCATCAATAGTAACTGGAAACATGACAAGTTTTTCCTTTTTTTTTTATTTATTTATTTTTAAATTCATTTTATTTTGTGTTTTGGGAATCTAA